AACTTGATCTTAGCTCTTGTGCATTGCAAGCACTTGATTCTCAAGTCTAGCTCAAAAAGGAGATCTTGTCGAACAAGACAACGAACCTGAAAGAGCCCTTCGACTACGCAGAAAGATGGTTGATCAAGGACAACAGTAAGAATTGGGACTGGATCCCCCGGAAAATATTAAGGGTGACCACGTGGAAAACAGGAATAATCAAGGATAAGAGGTACCCCCAGTTATACCGACAAGACCAGTTAGTGATATGGTTGTCCCACTTACAGCCAATGTGGCGTCAAGTATATGGAACCCACCGACGGGTGGAAGATTTGAGCTAATACAGAACATGGTGCAACTCATCTACCCAATGGGACAATTTACCGGTCTCCCTCATGAGGATCCCCAAGTGCATATAAGGAACTTTCTATATAAGCGATACATACATCCCAAATGGTGTTTCATTGGATTATGTAAGGTTCACTCTTTTTTCCACACTCATTGTTGGGAGAAGCCAAGTTGTAGTTAGATACAGAGCCCCCAAATTCCATCAGTATGTGTGATTATTTAGCAAAGAACTTCTTGAGTCGATTCTTTCCATCAGGAAAAACATCAAGGTTGAGGAGTGAAATATTGAGCTTTAAGCAGAAAAATGGGAACGATATGTACCAAGCATGGGCTTGATTCAACCAATTGTTGAATGCTTGTTCGTATCACTACCAGGCTAATGAGGTACTTGCTCACACTTTCTTTGAAGGTCTGGATTATAATACACGAGTACTTCTTAATAGTGCGGCAAGCGAACAAGCTTAAACAAAGACCCATGAGGAGCTATTTGACCTCCTAGATAGACTCTCAGAATGAAACCTTGTTTAGGATGGGGAAGTACCAAGGACCACGACACAAAAGGCTGCAGGAATTCTAGATGTGGATCAAGCTACCGCGATAAAACCAAAACTAGATGCAATGAACCATAGCATAACCAAGAAGGTCAAAATAATTGCACTAAATCAAGCACCGGTGAATATTATACATCAGGCAGCAGTTTGGTGTGGAGTATGTGGTAGTGGAGCACATGAAACTAAGTTTTGTGAGGCAAATCCAGATTCGGTGAACTATGTGGGCAATGCAAAAGAGGTGGAGGTCAGCAAAGTTTTGGCAATACTCATAGCTCCAGTTGGAGAAACCATCCTAATTTCTCATGGAGTGGAAATCAAAACAAAAACCAAGCGCAATGGTCTAACAGATACCGAGCACAAGCAATGGGGCAGCAATATCAAAATACTAGCCAAGGCAGAAATCCAATGCAGTAAATGGGGGGATGACTAATGAAGAGTTATTTTAAAATCTTATGGAAAAAATCGGTAAGAATAGTGCTGAGAATGCAAAGATGAATGCAAGCAGAGATAAGTATGATAAGAACATGAGGAACATCGAAATGTACCAAATGAGTCTTGAAAAACAAGTTGCGCAAGTGGCTAATTCACTCAACATGTGTCCTCATGGAGGTTTACCTGGTGACACTGAGCCCAACCCTAGCAATTGAATGCGATGAGTACCAGAAGTTGGCAACAACTAGAGGAACAAGCTCCAAGGAAGAGAGATATTGAGGTAGTGAGTAAAGAAAAAAACAAGAAAAGGTGGCAAAGAATTCCGATGTTGAGAAAAGTTTTCCTCAAATTAAACCACCTCCTCCATTTCCACAAAAGTTCAGAATAAAGATGAATACTTTGGTAAGTTTCTCTCTCCTTAAACATTTTCATATTAACCTGCCTTTGGTTGATATTTTGCAGGGAATTCCTAAGTATGCCTAGTATGTGAAGGAGCTAGTGGAAGACAAGATGAGGCTCACAGAGTATGAAATGGTAGCACTTACTAAGGAGTGCAGCTATCAAATTCAGACTAGACTACCCAAGAATTTGATGGATCTGGGTAGCTTCTAGTTGCGAATAAAAATTGGGTAAAGTGTCCATGTCCGGGGTTTATGTGATTTGGTTGCTAGCATTAATCTCATGCTGGCATCCTTATACAAGAATCTTGGGTTGCGGAGTCCAAAACAAACCATTGTCATTCTCCAACTTGTTGATAAATACATTGCTAGGCACGAAGGGGTAGTAGAAGATTTGTTGGTACAAGTGGGAACCTTGATCTTTCTGGTGGACTTTATGGTCTTAAACTTTGAGCCTGATACGGAAGTTCCATTTATTTTGGGGCGTCCTTTCTTGGCCACGGGGTGAGCATTGATTGATGTAGCAGCTGGGCAGTTGGCTATGAGGGAACATGATAAAGTTGAAGTCTTTGATGTTTATGGCGCCTTGAAATTGCCTTCTGTGTATGAAGAGTTGTCCGTCATTACTATTGTAGATCTCGCAGTAGAATCACAGTACATTTCTTTTGAGGATCCCTTGGAAAGAGGTTTCGAAGGAGATGATATAGATTGAGACACTGAAGCTTAAGAGATAGCGGCTGGTCTGAATTTGGCAGTATTGAGAACACACAGAGATAGAGTAGAATTGTTGGATCGTGAATTGGGGCCTCCGCCCAAACCCTCGATTGAAGAAGCACCTAAATTAGAGTTGAAATCTATGCATTCTCACATAAGGTATGCATATTTAGGTACCATTGAAACCTTACCTGTAATACTTTCTACTGAATTGTCTGAAACACGGGGTTAATACGGCATTGAGAATCTTAAAGCAAAGGAAGAGAGCTATTGGGTGGCAGATGGAGGATATCCATGGGATTAGTTCGACGTTATGTATGAAAAAAATCTATATGGAGGAGGATCACAAACCGAGTGCACAACATCAATGTAGAGTGGACCCCTTGATGAAAGAAGTGGTGAGAAAGGAAGTAATAAAGTGGTTAGATGTTGGAATCGTGTACCCAATTTCAGATAGCAAGTGGGTAAGTCTTGTGCAGTGTGTCCCAAATAAGGGAGGTATGACAGTGGTGAAGAACAAGAAAAATGAGTTGATTCCCACTAGAACAGTTACCGGATTGAAAATTTGCATGGATTACTGGAAGCTAAATGAGGCCACACGAAAAGATCACTATCATGTCCCTTTCATTGATCAGATGCCTGACCGCTTAGAAGGGAAGGAGTACTATTGCTTCTTATATGGGTATTCTGGATATAATCAAATCTTAATTGCATCTGAATATCAAGAGAAGACAACATTTACTTGTCCTTATGGTACATATGCATTCAAATGCATGCCATTTGGACTTTGCAATGCGTCGACGAATTTTCAAAGGTCCATGATGGCCATTTTTCATGATATGGCGGAGGACTTGGTAGAGGTATTCTGGATGATTTCTCGGTCTTTGGGAAATCTTTTGAGGTATTTCTCTGGAACCTTGATATAGTACTTGCTCGATGTGAAGATACAAATTTAGTGCTCAACTAGGAGAATTTCACTTTTTGGTCCGAAAGGGAATAGTATTGTGTCAAAAGGTGTTGAAATCTGGACTAGAAGTGGATAAAGCCAAGGTGGAAGTTATTGAAAAAATGCCCCATCCTATCTCTATAAAAGGGATTCAAAGTGTCCTTGGGCACGCAGGTTTTTACCGAAGATTCATCAAGGAATTTTCCAAAAATTCAAGACTTACGTGCAGTCTCTTGGAGAAGGAGGTGAAATTTGAGCTTGATGAGATATTCTTGAAGGCGTTTGAGGTGTTGAAGAGGAACTTAATCGAAGCTCCAATCTTGATTGCTCCTAACTGGGAGTTACCATTTGAACTCACGTGTGATGCAAGTGACGTAGTAGTGGGTACATTATTGGGAAAAAAGAAAGAGAAAGTGTTCCACTCAATTTACCATGCGAGTAAGACACTTGATTGTGCTCAAGCAAATTACATAGTGACTAAGAAGGAGATGTTGTCTCTAGTATTCGCTTTCCACAAGTTTAGATCGTATTTGGTAGGTACCAAGGTAATTTTTTAAACTGATCCTGCAACTATTAAGTACCTATTAAACAAGAAGGATGCTAAACCAAGGCTGATTCGGTGGTTATTGTTTCTCCAAGAATTTGACCTTGAGATCAAAGACCGAAAAGGTACTGAGAACTAAATAGTGGATGATTTGTCCAGGTTGGAAGATTTCACCCATGTACATGAAGGGAAACAAATCTGGGAAGAGTTTTTGGATGAACAATTGATGGGGTTGAATATCTGTCAAGTGCATGTGTATGCTGATATAGTGAATTTGTTAGTGAGTGGAGAGTATCCCCTAGGGTCAACTACACAACAGAAACAAAAGTTGACTCATGATGCTAAGTTCTACATTTGGGATGAACCATTCTTGTTTTTTCAAACAAGGAGTGGAAAAAGTTGTGAGATGATGCATTCTGGAGTGTGAAGTCAAGCAAGTGCTTGAGAGTTGTCATGCAAGTACGTATGTAGGGCATCACGGAGGAGAGCGCACAATGCACAAGGTACTACAATCTGGTTTCTTTTGTCCCTCTTTGTTTAAATAATCTATTGCCTATGTGAAGGGATATGATCAATGCCAAAGGTTGGGTACTATATCGTGAAGACATGAGATGCCACTAAATAACATTCTGGAGGTGAAAATATTTGTTGTGTTAGGTATTGACTTCCTAGGTCCCTTCCCACCATCTAGTGGAAACCAATATATTCTGGTGGCTGTTGATTATGTGTCAAAATGGGTCGAGGCGGTAGCTCTTCCCACGAATGACTCAAGAGTGGTTATTAAATTCATCAAGAAGCACATTTTTACTCACTTTGGAACTTCGAGGGCTATCATGAGTGATGGAGGTAATCATTTCATTAACCATTTAGTGAAGAATCTTCTTGCTAAGTATGGTATTTGGCATAAAGTTTCTACCGCTTATCATCATCAAAAATGTGGTCAAGTGGAAGTGTTGAACAAAGAGATGAAGCAAATCTTGCAAAAGACAATGAATGTGCAAAGAAAAGATTAGTTTAAGAAGCTTGATGATGTGTTATGGGTGTATAGAACTACATATAAAACACCCATAGGGACTTCTCCCTATCAGATGGTGTTCAGCAAGGCATGTCATCTTCAGGCAGAACTAGAGCACCAAGCGTATTGGGCAATAAAGAAGCTAAATCTTGACCCTGAGCTGGTGGGTAGGAAGAGAATTGGTCAATTGCATGAACTTGAGGACTCTAGGCTCTATGCTTATGAGAATGCGAAGTTATATAAAGAAAAAAACAAAAGATGGCATGAGAATCTTATAGTCCCTCGCACTTTCACTCCTGGCGAAAAGGTACTACTCTTTAACTCAAGACTTAAGTTATTCCCCGTAAAACTAAGGTCGAAATGGAGTAGTCCCTTCGAAGTGGTGAGGATGACACAACATGGTGTTGTGGAACTTAAAGGTAAGAATTCCCCGTCGTTCTTGATGAATGGGCAAAGGGTCAAGCACAACTTTGATAAATATTCAGATCGTGATCGGGAGGCTCTTGAGCTGAATGATGACTGATCCAAGTTAAGTCGAGCCACGACATTAAACCAGGCACTCGGACAACCCGTCAAAGTTATGTAATAGGTAGTTAGTTTTGCTTAATTTTGAATTTTTAGCCTAGTTTAAAGTTTATAGGATCTAGTGATGAGTTCTTGTTTTTATTTAGTTACTTTTAGGGATTTGTCTAAGTTTTATTGCTTTTGTAGTAGTTAGGCACTATAGAGAAAAATACAAAAAGAGGCGTCGTTCCACGACAAACACTAAAGCGCTGGGTGGGAGGAAACCCACCATTATTATGTTACGTTGTTTGGTTGATGTGCAGGTAGACGGAGAACAAACCACAAGAAAAGAGAACCTAATGCGTTGGAGAATGAGTTCGGGCGCAAGTCAGGCGCGCCATGCCAAAGGCTAAAGAACTGAGGCCCATTTTCGGCACATTGGCAGCGTAACACGTTACCATCGCGCCAGGCTAAAGAAAAATGTTGATTGCTGGCGAATCGCAACACCGGACCGGGCGCAGGTTGGGCGTACTGCTCCAAAGCCTAAATTACTAAGGCCCATTTCGGCCCACTGGCAGTGTACCGCACCACCATCGTGCCAGGCCTGCCCAAGATTGAATTTTATAATGTTTTTCTTTTCCCATGGGACCCACCCCAAAAACCAACCTTAAATCTTTCACCTACCCAAATACACCTCATTTTCTCTCTATTTTGCTCTCTCTAACCAACCAACTCCCACAAATTCTCCATAAATTCCCAACTCTTCTTCTTCTTCTTCTCCATTTCCTTTCTTCCCCAAAATCCTAATTTCCTCCATTAATCCCTCCTCAAACCTTATTCCCTTACCTTTCCCTCAACTTTCAACCACTAAAACCCACAAAAATCCATTAAAGCTTCAAAACCCACATGCCCCACACACCCCACTGCCTACCCGACCCACTTCCTCTTTCCCAAAATTCTTTTCTTTCTTCCTTTCTTCCATTGTTGGATGTGAAGATGGTTGCCAAGGGAAAAAATGTTGCTGGTGGATCGGGTACTATGCAGAGTCGAAAAGAGGTGGCTGCCAGAAGTTCTAGACGGGAACCCACCAACTTGTCGCCTCAAAAATTTGGCAAACAAGTTGTAATTCATTATGGAGAAAAGTGGCACGATTGCCAACCAGAATCGAAGTACATGGGTAACGAGTATGTCGATGAGGGGCAATTGCTAGAAGACTTTCCTCACATTCACGCCTAAGTTCGTGCTTTAGGCCTCCACTATATCTTTGTGGATCAAGGTAAGTGAAATTTTAGCTTAGTACGTGAATTCTATGCAAATTGGAATACACATCATGTTATGTGGAGCCAAGGTCTAATTAGGGATAGTCGTGTGCGATTTACTGTGGAAGCATTGAATGAGTTTTTGGGTGCCCCCAATTGTGATAATTCTGAAAATCAAGCCATGATTGAACGACCCTCGTATCGTGATATTAGGAATACTCTGTGTGGGGTGAACTCTGTTTCTCAATGGGATAGAGTTAGAAACACATGTCATCATTCGATTCTCCATTATGCCCACTTGAATTTGGAGGCGCGTATTTGGATGAAAATTGTGTTTAGCACCTTACTACCATGCAAGAATACGATCTAGGTCACTAGGGAGAGAGTTGTGCTAGTATACTGACTGATAAAGGTGCTGCCAATAAGTGTCGAAGCTATTTTGAGGCAGAATATGCTGAAATTCTGGACAAATAAAAGATGATGCTTCTGTTATGGCAGCTTCATTACTAGGTACCTAAGTGCCTTAAAAATTGAGGAAGAAGTCCATGATGTGTTCCCTATGTGCCCCTCATTTAGTATGCCGCCTTGTTGATGTCACAAGAACTAAAGCACACGATTTGTCCCAAGGGAAAGTATTGACTGCTAATAAGCAAGCCTGGGATGATAGTTCGATGGGTCGTATGTTTGTAATGGATGAACTTCAATTGCGGATTGGTGTCCGTCCAGTGACTGAGAACGATATGGCGACATTAGCGGAGCGTTACCCATTGACGGATAGCGCAATCTACATGTGTTGAATGGGCCCGGCATTCCAAGAACCCATTGATGGTGATGATTCCACTGCTGATGAGGAGGATGGATCGGAGAAGGATGAGTCGGATGATGTTCGACACGGAGATGATGATATCAATTTGGGTGTTGGTGATGGTGATGCAGCCTCAATGGCTATGGATTTTACCACTAATATGGCAACCTGTTGAATTGAAGCACATGTCCTTCAATTGTTAATTATTTAGTTATATAATAGTTCATATATATTGTTATATATATGTGTGTGTGTGTGAAATAATTAGTTTTTTTAATTAAGTTGATTATTTTATTTTGTTAAGATTAAGAAGCTCGTTAATTAATTATATTAATTTGTCATCTTTAATTATAAGTCGAATCTACTAATTTAATCAATTTGACTAAGTTCTTAATTTTAATTGGCTACAATTTCAATCAATTTGACCAAATTCTTAATCCAAAACTAGCCCCTTTTTACCTCACCCATACCCAATTCAATAGGCCAATTTTGGGCCCATTTTCATTTTAAATTCCCAGCCCATTTCTCCCTTTCTCACATTAAAATCAGTAACCCACTTTTTCAATTTCCAGACCCAAATCTAAGCCCAATCACTCTTATTCCCAATTTCAGCCCACTTCCTTTTCCAACAATACAATACATACAACAATACAACTGCAACCCCAAAAATTCCAGACGACCCCTGCATTCTTTTTCTTCTTCTTCACGTTCAAATCCCAGAAAATTCGGCCAGAAATTTGCAGCGCCCATACTCATCCTGTCCCCTCGGTATACTGACTGATAAAGGTGCTGCCAATAAGTGTCGAAGCTATTTTGAGGCAGAATATGCTGAAATTCTGGACAAATAAAAGATGATGCTTCTGTTATGGCAGCTTCATTACTAGGTACCTAAGTGCCTTAAAAATTGAGGAAGAAGTCCATGATGTGTTCCCTATGTGCCCCTCATTTAGTATGCCGCCTTGTTGATGTCACAAGAACTAAAGCACACGATTTGTCCCAAGGGAAAGTATTGACTGCTAATAAGCAAGCCTGGGATGATAGTTCGATGGGTCGTATGTTTGTAATGGATGAACTTCAATTGCGGATTGGTGTCCGTCCAGTGACTGAGAACGATATGGCGACATTAGCGGAGCGTTACCCATTGACGGATAGCGCAATCTACATGTGTTGAATGGGCCCGGCATTCCAAGAACCCATTGATGGTGATGATTCCACTGCTGATGAGGAGGATGGATCGGAGAAGGATGAGTCGGATGATGTTCGACACGGAGATGATGATATCAATTTGGGTGTTGGTGATGGTGATGCAGCCTCAATGGCTATGGATTTTACCACTAATATGGCAACCTGTTGAATTGAAGCACATGTCCTTCAATTGAAGAAGCTCGTTAATTAATTATATTAATTTGTCATCTTTAATTATAAGTCGAATCTACTAATTTAATCAATTTGACTAAGTTCTTAATTTTAATTGGCTACAATTTCAATCAATTTGACCAAATTCTTAATCCAAAACTAGCCCCTTTTTACCTCACCCATACCCAATTCAATAGGCCAATTTTGGGCCCATTTTCATTTTAAATTCCCAGCCCATTTCTCCCTTTCTCACATTAAAATCAGCAGCCCACTTTTTCAATTTCCAGACCCAAATCTAAGCCCAATCACTCTTATTCCCAATTTCAGCCCACTTCCTTTTCCAACAATACAATACATACAACAATACAACTGCAACCCCAAAAATTCCAGACGACCCCTGCATTCTTTTTCTTCTTCTTCATGTTCAAATCCCAGAAAATTCGGCCAGAAATCTACAGCGCCCATACTCATCCTGTCCCCTCGTCCTCTTTTGTCAAATAGCCCCATCCTTTCTATTGTTTTCGGAAAAACGGGGATTTGAAATTCAAATTTTTAATCTGTTTTCCCTCTAATCGAATTCATTTTTCTCCTATAAAAATCCATCTTTGCTTTCGGTTTTAGGGGAGGAAAAATTATTCTTGAACAATTGACTTTTACGCTTGAGAAATTTTGAATGCATTTTTAGTCCTAGATTTTAAAAGGGTCTTCGGCTAAGATTTGTTTGGATTTTTTATTTTATTGCTCGAGGTTTGAAGTCGGTGTTGAAGTTGTTCTTAAGCTCGTATTGGTCCCGGTTCGCTGCTCCGAAAAGGGTAACAACTCCTCTTCTCTCATTTCATTTTTATTTCAGTTAATTTGTTCTCTGTTTGGTGAAGTAGTTGCATATCCATATTTGTTTCTTTCCGTTTGAACTCTCTTAGTGCTATAATGCATCGACCCCCCCCCCCCCAAAAAAAAACGACTCTTTCTCCTTCTATATATTCCCTCTCTCAATCCCTGTTATAGGGGGATTTTAAAAAGAAAAGAAAAGGGGGAGATAGAAAAAATAATATAGCAAGGTATAGAGAAATATAAATCTATAAGAGGTGCTCTCGAAGCAGAGAAGAGAACCATTTTTTTTTATCTGAGCTCCACCCTCTCCATTAGTTGGTTGAGAATTTCCAAGGTTTTAAGTCGCTGATTGGTGGAGGAATCGTTGTTACCTCGCTCGTTTTCGTCTCCGTTCGCTGCACTTTGGAAGGTAACAACTCCTCTTCTCTCATTTCATTTTTATTTCAGTTAATTTGTTCTCTGTTTGGTGAAGTAGTTGCGTATCCATATTTGTTTCTTTCCGTTTGAACTCTCTTAGTGCTATAATGCATGAATTAGGATGATGTAGTAGCTAGTTTTATGGTGCAATGTCCTCATTTCTCACTGTCTGTTGTTGCTTTGGTTTGAGAGTGAGAAAACAATAGAAACTTCATGTATTTTGCTTCACACCCTTACCCCTCAACTGAAGACAAGTGTTCTTGTATGTTTATTTTGAATAGTATTTTAGCTAGATTAACTAATTTCTTGAAATTGTGATTGTTCCTTTTATTAAAATTTCCCTTAGAATTG